CCTCCCCTTGTTACTGTCCCTGGATTGACCCATCATTTATTTGGTGGTCAGAGGCAAACAAATCGAATGCTCCGCCCAGGGAATCAGGGATGAATCCAGCTTTCAGGCTGAGAGGTTCCCAGGAGAAGAGGAGAAGAGAGGAGACGGGGGAAGCATAGGGGAAAGGGGAAAGCAAGGGAAGAGAGTGTGTCTTTAAGAGGGAGTACTGTGCTGAAAGGTGGAGGAAGAGGAAGACAGAGGAGTGGCCATTGGCATTGGAGGAATTGAAAGGTTGCTAGAGATATCAGCCTGGACAGAGCAGAGGGGACTGAAGCCAGTGGGTGGGAGGGATCGGAAAAGGGGGAGACCTTCCAGGCGGTCCCAGATTCCCTGTGACCTACTCTGAGGCTGTTGAGGCAGGATGGAGAGGCCAAAAGTGATGGCAAGTATCCATTGGCCTGCCCTTCCCTAGGACAGGAAGGGGGCCAGGGAGCCTCCATAAGAAGAACGGCTCCTCACTAAGAAGACCGCTTGGGTTGAGTTGGCCCACTCCTAATATCAGAGCGACGGAGGCCCCAGACTGTTCCAGGTCTCCCGTCACTCACATCTCCCCTGTGCACCGCTGGGGACCTTGCATGCGTGTAGACCAGTGGTTCTCAACCTTCCTGATGCCGCGACCCTTTAATACAGTTCCTCATGTTGTGGTGACCCCCAACCATAAAATTATTTTCGTTGCTGCTTCATAACTGTAATTTTGCTACTGTTATGAATCGTCATGTAAATATCTGATATGCGGGATGTATTTTCATTGTTCGCGACCCACAGGTTGAGAACCGCTGGTGTAGACACTTGGACAACCAGCCCATTTACCCAAGCTTCCTCCACCTCCCACCAAAGCTACCCTTAGTGCAAACACCAGTGAGCCATGGGAGGAAGGACTTAAAGAGGCCTGCACAGGCCCTGTCAATGGCTCAGGACGTTTAGGCGAATAATTTTGGGGCAAGTTACCTTGGCCTAGTGGTCTCCTCACTCCGTAGAGAAGGATGCGATTGAAGGAAAGCCAGAGCAGGGGCCTCTCTCAGGTACATAATCAGCAGGGGCCCTAGATTGCCAGCTCTGAGGACGAAATACTGGAAAGGACCCAGGAGGGAGGTACGCCCAACCAAGAGAAGCGGAAGTGGGCCAGGTCTGTGGGCAAACATCCTGGGCTCATCTCAGGAAGTGGGTTTCAGGCTGTAAGGCACACAGACTCACCCCGGGAGTAAAAGCGGCTAGTTGTATCGCCCGTGAGCAGAAGCCACGCTGTGCCAATGATGACGGTCCATGTGATGTCAAACTGCTGCCCCGGACAGGAGCAGCCCTCTTCCTGAACATCGCATTGAACAGCTCATACAGGTATCCACCTGGTCGCACATACAGGATATGAGGGAGTCATTCCTGACCCCTCTTCTCTCTCACTCCCAATATCCATCAGCAAGTCTGGTCCATTCTACCTTTTAGGTCCATCTCTCATCAGTTCCACTCCTGACCTTCTCTTGTGTCCCCCCGTGTGCGGTGTTCTCTCCCAACTTTTGCGCAATGGGGACCTTCTGCAGGGACTGTCCTTTTTCCTTCTCTCCTGGCTTACTCATCCTTATTTTTTCTTTTCACTTAAAAAATTGAAGTAGAATTTATATACAGTAAAATGTACCCTTTAGAGTGTACAGATAGAGAGGAAGGAAGAAAACTCGGAAGGGCTGGCAGCTGGAGGTTTGTGGTCCGTGAGGTTTGACAAATCCATAGTTTTGTAACCACTACCAGTCAAGACAGAAGATTTCATCACCCCCAAGAAATTCCCTCATGCTCCTTTGGAGCTCACTCTAATTCTCACCACCAGCACCTGACAACCACTGACCTATTTTCTGTTCGCATTTTCCACGTTGTATAAATGGAATCATTCCGTAGCATAGCCTGTTGGAATGTGGTTGTTTTTTACCCAGCATGATGCATTTTGTGGATGAAAAGGGGCCACATGCTAACCTGACTAACTCAGGGAAGGTCTGTGTGGTGGCCTTGCAAGCTCAGAGACCTAAAGTAACCACAAAGGATGGTCTGAAATTAAAACTTTTAAAATTAAAAAGCAGTTTATAGTGGGTAGTCATGTCCTAGGCCGGTATCTTCCCTGACAAAGATCAGCTTTGATCTTAGCTGAGCCTGTTGTCTTTTTGCATCTCTGATAACATACCTTGGGAATGTCAGGGTAACTTGTACCTTCCCTCAGGGCACAAGCAATGCACCAGGGCGAAACCACAAGTTCCCTCATTGTTACTGTTATCGTGTTGACTGTTAACTATCACATGTAAAAGAAGCATGTGTCTATTTTACTTTTTATCCAATCCCAGAGCTCCCCCCTTGCACTTTGCTTTCTCCCACCTCCCTAATCTATCCCCAGTGGATTTCATGTAACCCTCTTACATCTCCTCCTTTGATGATATTTTATAAAAGTAGGTAAAAAAAAAACAAACCCAGCTATTCTCTGGAACATTGTCTCAATACATTGAGATTCTGTTTCCTGGCAGGCAATGGTCAACAGTTTGGCTCAAGTAAACTCACAAAAATCCTCTACAGGTTTGAATGTTTCTTAGGTTAGCAATTTGATAATTCATCTATGCTGTTGTGTATCAATAGTCTGTTTCCTCTTTATTGTTGAGATTATTCTAATACAGTGATGGCGAACCTATGACACACGTGTCAGAGGTGACACGCGAACTCATTTTTTTGGTTGATTTTTCTTTGTTAAATGGCATTTAAATATATAAAATAAATATCAAAAATATAAATCTTTGTTTTACTATGGTTGCAAATATCAAAAAATTTCTATATGTGACACGGCACCAGAGTTAAGTTAGGGTTTTTCAAAATGCTGACACGCCGAGCTCAAAAGGTTCGCCATGACTGTTCTAATATATAGATAGATGTACCAGTTTATTTATTCTTTCACCAGTGGATGGGACATTTGGTTTTTTCCAGTTTTTGGAGGATATGAATAAAGCTGCCTTAAACATTTGTATATGGGATTATGTGTGCCCACGAGTTTTTATTTCACTTGGGGAGATACCTAAGAGTGGGGCTGCCGTATGGGTAACTTTATAAGAAACTGCCAAACTGTTTTCCCAGAGCTGCCATGCCAGTTTGCATTCCCACTGCAATATGTGAGAACTCGCGTCGCTTCACATCTCACCCGCACTAGGTGGGTTGGTTCATTTGTTTTTATTGATTTGTTGATTGATTGACTGACTGACGTCATATTCTACTAAAGTGTGTGGTGCTTTCACATTGTGCTTTTAATTTCCACTGCCTTGATGACTAACGGTGAGTCTACTCATTCTTTTAAATCTCCGCTTGGTCTTCACTTCTTCCAAACACCACTGTTCACACTCACTTCATAGACCGATTAAGCTCCTGTCCTTTGTGGTTCCATGACCACCAACATTTATCTCCAGCTTGGCCTTAACCCGCTAAACTGTCATTGTGTGTCTGTTCCCACCTTGTTCACCACCCTGGTGTCTCTCTCTCTCTATTACACACACACACACACACACACACACACACACACACACACACTGTGAGCTACTGAGGACAGAAGCAGCATCGTACTTCCGTTGGTGTCTCCAGCTCCCGGCACAGACCTGAAACAGAATCTTATACAGTAAATATTAAAAGAGCGAATTAACGATTGCTTAACACATCCCAGAACGGACGGGTGAAGATAGGTAGTTAGGAACAAGGTTTTGCAACCAGACTGTCCTGGCTGTGTCCACTAACCCTTTCTCCATTGAGTTCTAACCTTTTCTCCAATAAGCTCACCTGAACACAGGTGACGCTAGTGATGAGCCTATTTATGACCATGACGACACCGACGACGCTGTGGAGGAGGGAGGCAAAGCGGAAAAGGCGGGGCCAGCAGCGGAAGTGCCGTTAGCGGCGTCTTAGTTGCCATGGAGCCCGGACCAGCCAGAGACCGCCGCTCCTCCAAGTCTGGATCCTACGCGTTCGCGGGGGCAACATGGACGACAACCTCGCGTCTGCCGCGGATCTGCAGCCCCAGCCAGTCCGTCTGGCTGTCCTCCCTCGCTTACCCCGAGTCTTTCCATCCCAGCTTCAGGAGTCGGCCCCGCCGCTTCTCGCTGCCCACGCTCCCACAGCTGCCGGAGCCGCAGCTGCTGCGCCTGCGCCCCACCTCCCTGCGCACCCAGGACATCTCGCACCTGCTCACCGGCGTCTTCCGGAATTTGTACACGGCCGAGGTGTTCGGCGACGACGTGAGCACAAATCTGATCAAGGCCCGCGGCAGCGAGGATGAGGTCCACGAGGAGTTCGTGGATGAGCTGCAGCAGGTAACACGGGCCCCGGCCCTGCGCCCCCGCGCGCTCCCTACTGGTGGGGCCCGTCGCACCTGAGGACAGTGCTGGGGGCCCAGGACGCGCCCCCCAGAAAGCTGCCCCCCCCCCCACCCCGCAGTATTTGCTGCTCGACAAGTGTGAGCGCCTGCCGGCTGCCAAGCGCTGTTCCAGGCACCGGGATGCAGCTGGGAAAGAGCCAAGTCCCTGTCACATGTTCCCCACGTTCCAGGAACACTCAACACACAGTTATACAAATGCATACTACACACAGAAGGCCTAAACCTGTAACACCTACCTTCATTTCTCTGCACACACACACATTATACAGTATACAGGCAGATCTCGGAGATACTGCGGGTTTGGTTCCAGATCACCGCAATAAAGCCAGTGGTAATCTTTTTGCTGGTGGAAGGTCTTGCCTTCAATTAGTAGAAAAACACACCTGTGAAGTGCAATAAAGCGAATCATAATAAAACGAGGTGTGCCTGTATTTTATGACTGGGGCAGATGGCGGAACAATTGTTCCCTGTAGATAAAGCTGAAAATCACTCCCCCTCCTGGGGTGGGGGGTGGGGGGCAGTCTGCCTTTGTATGGGAAAAAATAGTCTTAGCCGGGACATTCGTGCCCAGATGTTAGGAGGCATGCCCTGTCTCTGGAACAGCAGCTCTACCTCCTCATCTGTGCAAAGAGGAAAGCAGCCAACCTGAGGCCTCTGCCGGGGCTGCCTGCTCGTGACTCCCTGCAGGGAGGCTCAGCTGAGAGCCCTCAAGCAGCCGAGCTTACTCGGAAGGGCTGGCAGCTGGAGGCTGTGTGCGCGCTAAGCCGCCTGCAGCTCAGGAGCAAGTCCTTTGCATGGGGATCTGGGTGGCACAGCCCTCTGTCTACCACGTGGTGTGCTGACTTGTATTTGGAATTTCAGGATTTGGATGGCAGCTCTCTTTACTGTGAAGTCAGGAGACAGGCTTCCCAGCTGGCCTCCGTTCCTGACTGTCCTCTGACACCTTTAAACCATTTTCCTCTGTAGGTCTCAGTTTTCACATCGGTCAGGATAGACCCAATGGCCTCTATAGTTCTCTGCTTCCCTAAAAGCCCTGATGCTGGGGTGAGGTTGCGTAAAGCTATGTGATCTCACACTTCTGTGCATTTGATCATCCACCTGCCAGATTCGGAAGCTCTATAAGCAGCGGTTGGATGAGTTTGAAATGTTGGAGAGACATATCATTCAGGCCAGTGCACGGACCATCGCGGAGAGAGAGCGGACCATGCACCCAGCCAAAGTCCAGGAACTTGAGCCCAGCATCAAGATGCCTCCAGGTGTGTATAAGGAACCCCCATGTGCTTTCACCCTGACTCCCCAGCTGTGAGTATATTACCGTATTTGCTCCAGTGCTCACTCGCTAGTCATTACCTGGACATTTGGACAGCAAGTTGCAGATGTGATGTTTCATTACCACAAAACACTCCAGTGTGCACGTCTCCCAAACAGGGACACTCTCCTACATAACCAGCACACAACCCTCCAAGCCCAGAAATCAGCATCGGTGCAACATTAACCTCCAGTTCACAGACCCCATTCACATTTCTCAGCTGGTGGACAGTGGCTCTCTCTCTCCTCGCTGGTCAGGCATCCTGTCTAGGAAGTCATGTTGCATATACTTGTCATGTCTCTTTTATTAGACTTTTCATTTGGTACAATTCTTTTATCTTTTCCTGTCTTTCATGGTATTGACAACTTATTTTTTTCCAATTTTTTTATTGTGGCAAAATGCACATAACATAACATTTACCGTCTTAGTCATTCTTAAGTGTATCGTTCAGTGGTTGGTATAAATACATTCTAGCCCAGCTGGCGTGGCTCAGTGGTTGAGCATCGACCTAGGAACCAGGAGGTCACGGTTCGATTCCCGGTCAGGGCACATGCCCAGGTTGTAGGCTCAGTCCCCAGTATGGAGCACACAGGAGGCAGCGGATCAATGATTCTCGCTCATCATTGATGTTTCTATCTCTCTCTCCCTCTCCCTTCCTCTCCGAAATCAATAAGTACGGTGACATTCAAAAACAACTGGATACATGGGGGAAATTAAAATATGATTGCACATGCCCAAGGAAAGGCTCAGAAAAGACCTGAGAAGACCTTAAGTTTACACCCCAGGCTGACCCTCCACACACAGAACCTACAGGAATTTAAATTCACCGAGTTCAGTGGTAATTTCTTAGTATTTCTCAGAGAGGCATTCTCAGGTTTCTCCAAGATCTTGCTCCTCATCAAAGCTCCATCACCGCACCACCAGCATTTGCTGAAAACTCTTCCTTAACCAGCCACCTCAATGGTGATACTGTCTTTAATCAATGCATTTGTTAAAGAAATTGTGTTATTTTTCCTACAGACATGTCCACAGTCTGCTTTGCTGATTTCAACATTGTGGTGGTGTTTAACCTGTTCTTGTGATCCCCCTATTGCCTGCAACTCAGTCATTAGTTCTAGAGGCTTAATGAGATTTAGGTACAATTTGCGGGGGAGAGGAGCAAGACCACTTCACTGGTGCTGTGTGCTTCCTTCAGGAGGTACATGGTATCTGATGTCTCTCTCTCCATGATGCTGGCAGCTCTTGCCTGGACCTGTTGTCTCCTTGGGGGTTGTAAATGATAATAAAACTAGAGGCCCGGTGCACAAAATTCATGCAAGAGTAGGCCTTCCTTCCCCCAGCTGCCGGCACCGGCTTCCCTCTGGCATCCAGGACCCAGGCTTCCCTCTGGCCGCCAGCAGGTACTCGAAGCCCCGGTTTCATCCAGGAGGTCGTCCGGAAGGACGTCAGGTCTAATTAGCATATTACGCTTTTATTATAATAAAATGCTAATGGTACTGGGATACTTCCATAAAGAGAAACTTTTCAGCAACTATGTTGATTACCCCAAGATATGAGCAGAATGAATTCTTTCCCCATATTTGCCAGTTTTTAAAATAATAAGTCAGTCCCCCTGGCATCTTTCAAACATGACTGATGAGGCTTATTTAGTTTGTTTTCAGTACCATGATGAACTCGTGGATTTCATAACTACAATTATATTTATCATCCTTGTTGATGCTCCTGCCGTCCCATCTTTGGCCAAATTGAGCCTTTTCAAGTTGACTCCTAACTCTTGGACACATTGTCTTTGATGACTTTCTTACCTTCTGGAATGGTCAGAAGGCTCATCTTGTGTGTTTATTGCCCCAGACCTAGAATCAGCCATTTCTCTAAGAGGCCCTGGTTCCCTTTTATTTCCCACACAAAAACTTTGATCTATCCTCCCACATCCCTGAAAGTCATTATTTTCCCGTGCAGTGGGCAGAAGGGACGGTGGTTTTAGGGTTGAAAGACCTGACATATCTGTGGCTCAGAGGGAGTGAGAAGTAGAAGATACAGTGGCTTAGAAAGGCATTACACTATGGGATGATAGGTTATCCCACTGAACCTGTCCAATGATTCTGTGAGGTAGATTTCTCTTCATTTTATAGGTGTAGGAACTGAATCCCCACAGCACAGAAGGGCTGGGACCCAGATTTGAAGAATCATTGATCAGACACCGTTTCACGCTTGGTTAGCACCGTTTCACGCTTGGTTAGATAACTTCCCTTAGGGGGTGGCTCTGAGCAGGAGGACCTGTCCTTTGTCAGACCTGTCACCTCAGAGGCTCAGCACAGATTCCACATCTCTTCCTGTTCCCCTTCCACCACAGCAGAGCCGTGGAGCTGCCAGAATCCCTCCCTCAACCATGTGTTTAGGCGGAGATTTTTGATAGCAGATTCTCATTTTTGGTAGCAGATTCTCATGAGGTTTTATTAGTTGCCTGATAATGTGTCCCTGTCTTTCATAGGATTCTTTTGGTTAGAGATCAAAGGAGATTAAATAATTGGTTGGTTGTGGTTTTTGGTTTTGTGTGTGTGTGTGTTTTTTTTAATGAAAGTGAACTAAAACATTGAGAACTGGGAAACAAAGATCAGTCAGAAGAATTCTGCAATGGCCTTCATTTTTTTAACTCAAGATAATATTGAGTCATTATCAGATATTTTCTGCCTGGGTTTCTGAGCCTTCTGCTGATAATGTTCTCTTTTATTTCAAAAGTAGCAGAAGTAGAGATCTTAATCCAGTTTCCTGAACATGCCTCTGGTCCCTTCTTCTCAGTGTGCGGCAAGGAGACCCAAGAAACTCTTTTTTAAAAAAATATATTTCTTTATTGATTTCAGAGAGAAAGGGAGAAGGGGAGAGAGAGAAACATCAATGATGAGAATCATTGATTGGCTGCCTCCAGCAGGTTCCCTACTGGGGATTGAGCCCGCAACCCAGGTGTGTGCCCTTGGCCGGATTTGAACCTGGGACCCTTCAGTCCGCAGGCTGACGCTCTGTCCACTGAGCCAAACCAGCTGGGGCTAGAAACTCTTTTTTTAAATCCTCACCCAAGGATATGTTTTTATTCACTTTAGAGAGAGAGGAGGGGAGAAAGCGGGGAGGAGGGGAAGAGAGAGAAAGAGAAACATCGATGTGAGAGAGAAACATTGATTGGTTACCCCCACCCCCCTACCCCACATGTGCCCCGGCTGGGGATGGAACCTGCGACCTTTTGGTGTACTGGATGATGGATGCTCCAACCAACCAACCTACCCAGCCAGGCCCACAGCCTCTTTTAACTTAGACGATTGATGGAGAGGACAGTCCCTGAAACTTTCCTTCCTTGAGGCCCAGAGGCAGCCTTCCTCTGTTGGCTACTACAGCCGTCACAGGGTTGGACACACACACACATGTTCCCAGGCCGAGGGAGAAAGGTCAGAATTCTGCAGAACATCTCACGCTTTCATCCCCTTCCCCTGCTGGTAAATTTTCCACATTATCTTGGGGGACTGGATGGCCCCACCCCTGATAGAGTCATGCTCAGGAGCACAGGGTCAGTGCAGGAGGCCCACCCTGCCCAGGTGGGGAGGATGGTCACAAAGCCGTGCAGGGTTTTCCAAGGCTCACCTGGTACGTAACCCAGGCCGGACAAGGAGAGAGACTTTCCAAAGATTCAGATACACAAACTGCTCGCAGCTTCGCAGACCCAACACCCAACCACCCACGCCCCGGGGGAGGGCCGTGGAGGCAGCGGTATCAGATGGGAGAGGGTACATCTCCTTCCCGCGTGGTGTTTGCCTTTTGTATGAAAGCTTGATCCCATGATGTTTCAAATAGACCATCACCAAAGCCTTTGAGAACTGGGCTAGATTGTGTCAACTTGTCTCTGCTGCCAGTCCCTGCTGAGGTCTCTGTGTTGAAAGGAGAGGAGACGGAGGGCGGTGGGGAGGGCGCAAGCATCTCCCGGAATGTGCCTTTTCCCGATGGTCAGAGGCCCTTGGTGAGTTTTGGAAGGGAGGCCACTGTTCTCAAGAAGCAGTAGCAGGCAGGCGAGTGAGCGGCCGGGAATTTCACAGTAGCTTCCAGGTAACTCCTCAAGAACCCCCAGCCTCAGGGCTGCTGGCTGAACTCGTTCATGGCGGTTCCCTGACTTTCTCTCTCCCCCTCCATAATCCCCTGCATTCAAACCAACCCTTACTATGTGATTCACGTGGAGTAATTTCTGTTTTCCTGATTGAACCCTGGCTATTACAGTAACTAAGCAAAATCTCAAAATCCCCAAACTAACATACGATGGGAGAAACATGTATTCTTCACTTGTCTCTCCTCTACCCTTGGTTATAGGACCCTCCAAAAGGGAGGCCATTTAAAATCACCATGTTGGTTAATGGAGCGAGCAACAAAGTTTGAAAACTTCCAAATCTTCCACTCATCCTATTTATTCCATAATTTTTTTTATCAATGTATTACTATACATGGTTTAAGAAAATTAAGTAACTTAGGAAAGCTTCTAATGAAATATAAAAAGCCCTCACCCATGAATGTCACTTTTCATTTGTCCAACCCCTTAGCATGTACAGCGCCAAGAGTGAGCCATGGTGTAAACTGTGGACCTTGGGTGATGATGATGTGTCAATGGTAACAAATGCCCCACTTTGGTGGGTCCTCTGATAATGGGGAGGCTATGTATGTGGGGTTGCGGGGGGAGTAGACAGAGTACACGGGAAATCTCTGTACCTTCTTCTCAGTTTTGCTGAGAACCTAAAACTGTTCTAAAAATAAAGTCCATTGGAAAAAATGCTCCACCTCACCTCTTTCAACCTCAGTCCATTTGCTAACGGCGGGCATTTCTAGCTGTAATTCTTCTGTTCTCCTCTAACTAAGACGTCTTGACGACTATTTCTTGGCTCATCAACCATAAATATTAATCACTGACTCCCCACTCTGTTAGTGAGATTTTCTTTTTTTTTTAAATATATTTTATTGATTTTTTACAGAGAGCAAGGGAGAGAGAGAGAGAGTTAGAAACATCGATGAGAGAGAAACATCGATCAGCTGCCTCCTGCACATCTCCCACTGGGGATGTGCCCGCAACCCAGGTACATGCCCTTGACTGGAATCGAACCCGGGACCCCTCAGTCTGCAGGCTGACGCTCTATCCACTGAGCCAAACCGGTTTCAGCGAGATTTTTCTCTCATGTGTCTATGGGTCAGCTGGGGGTTGGATGATCTAGGTTGGACCTGGTCGGCTGGACCGGCTTCAAGCTGTGGATCTGGCTGGACGTGGCTCCTTGCTGCAGGTTGGGCTCAGGTCTGCTCCACGTGGATTCATGCTGGGGTCCAGAATGAAGGGGCAGGAGCTTCCCTCCTGGGCAGGGACGCTCTTCTCGTGATGTTGGCGAAGACACAAGAGGGAGAAAGCTCAGCTGTACAAGCACGTTTCAAACCACAGGCGACATCTCATCAGCAAATCACATCAATCATGTGACCAAAGTCAAGGGCGAGTGAGCTCTGTCTAAAGTAGCAGGAGCCCCATGGCCAAGGATGTGGCTACGGAAGCAATGAGGAATTGTGGCCCTTGATTCACTCTACCACGCTTCTCTTGGTGCTGTTTTGTTATAGGCCTCTCTGTCAGTAACAATATTTTAGCTGAAACCATATCACAGCCCAGCCTTGCCCAATGGTTGTCCTCTTTTACGTGGCTGGTCAACTGGCTGATTTGTTTCTTAAATCCCAGAATGACCACAGGGTTCTGAGGAAGAATTTTGTGAGTTGGTTATGCTCAGAGGGTGAAGGAAGCTTGGGGGTAGCTTCCTCAACGTCAGTCTGGCTTGAAACCCCCTTGTCCTTGTTCCCTTGTGCCTAGTGAAGACTATCTTCAGATGGTGCGTGGACAACAAGTTGCTACAGAAGCATCACTTGATCTGCCCGGACGATTACTACAGCGATCCAGTGCCATTTTGCTCTGCGCCCAAAGGTAATGCTTCTGCGCTCCCTCGGGGCCTCTGCCATGGTCCCAGCGAAGCCCTTTAGTAGCAGGACCATGTTTGCTGCCATTTCCTTGTTCACACGGTTCCCCACCCCCTTTTTCTTTCATTTTGATAGTGACCGTTGGGAGGGTCAGATCTGAGCATGCTCCTTGACACGTGCAAGACAAGTCTCAACTATAGGGTGCTCTTGTTAGCTACTCAACGCCAAGAGATAGAAAAAACGGTTAGAAATGTATTTGAATGAATCATAGTACAAAAATCAAATACAAAAACCACGCATATTTCAGTGAGACATACATAAGCAAGGGAGCAAGTTCCTGATGGAGTCCGAGCATGGCCCTGGGGGTTTTCCCCTGTCCCAGAGCAGCTTTTATCCTTCTGAGTATGGGAGGAAGGTTGGGGAGGAAGGCAGAGAAGGATGAGTGCGTGTGCGTGCGTGCGTGCGTGAAAGAGATCGAGAGCGAGAGAGAGATTGATTGGGCTAGTTTCTTGTGATGTGGGAGGTATAATCTGAGAATGAATGGGGTGGGAACCTGGGTTGTGGGCTTAAGCAGGGAGGTAGTTTTGGGGGAGCCACTGTTTGGATTTTGTGGCCAAACATCAGGATGGCCGCTGGTGGAAGCTCAGAAGAAGAGCTCTCCAGCAGCCCTGGTCTGTGAGACTCTGCTGATCTCTGGGGCTTTGGAGCTGAGAAGGCATTTGAGGCGGGAAGATTGGGATCCAGAGAGCTGAGCGTGCTGATGTGGGAAGAGCCCACAGGCGGACTGAGCTGCATAGAGATTTAAGGCCAGAACTCAGCAGCAGAATCAAGTGTCGGGGAGGTTAAGCCACTCAGTCCTCTAAAGTTAGTTGGACACCCACTATCTGATGAGAGGAAGGAGGAGGGAGTGAACACGTATTGAGGATTTATCAGGTGTTGTGCTGAGGAATGTGCGGTGGGACCAGTTTCACTGCATTCTTGCTAGTAATGGATGTTCTCCTTTAACCTTTAGGGCAGCGGTTCTCAACCTGTGGGTCGCGACCCTTTTGGGGGTCGAATGACCCTTTCACAGGGGTCGCCTAAGACCATCGGAAAACACAGATATAATTACATACTGTTTTTGTGATTAATCACTATGCTTTAATTATGTTCAATTTGTAACTGAAAGGGTGAGGGCTACGTCCTCCATCTTACCCCGGATCCTGCATTTTTGGGCAGCAGCCTTAGCCATGTGCTCGGCAAGGAGCTTCTTCCCGGAAGCCCAAGGCTCTGCTAGCCACACCTAGGATTTCTTTAAACTAACCAATGATAATCAAGGGAAGTGTGCGCCATAGATACGACCACATCCTGTGTAACAAGACACCGACTTGCGCCTGGCCAATTGGCAGGGCCCACAGTCCTCTCTCCTCCCCTTACTCCAACCCCCCTATAAAACCCCTCTCCCCACAAAGCTCGCTCTCTCTGCCCCAGCCGCTGCGTCGGCGAGTGTGGTCGGGGAGCCGAGCTAGCTCGAATAAAGACTCTATCTGCTTTTGCATCGGACTCGGCTGGCTCCCTGATGGTCTATCCTGAAATCTGGGCATAACAGTAACAATGAAAATACATCCTGCATAGCAGATATTTACATTATGATTCATAACAGTAGCAAAATTACAGTTATGAAGTAGCAATGAAAGTAATTTTATGGTTGGAGGTCACCACAACATAAGGAACTGTATTAAAGGGTCGTGGCATTTAGGAAGGTTGAGAACCACTGCTTTAGGGGATGTTCTTAAAGGTGTAAAAAGCCAAGACAAACGTTGACTCCTGTGTGAGCTTTTAAGAAGCATGTTCTCATGTGGGGTATGTGAACATGCGTGTGTGGGTGACAGTGGCCTGCTCATGTTCAACAACAGACATTTTACCGCTCAAGTCCTAAGCCATCAAGGCAGGGGTGGGCAAACTTTTTGACTCGAGGGCCACAATGGGTTCTTAAACTGGACCGGAGGGCCGGAACAAAAGCATGGATGGAGTGTTTGTGTGAACTAATATAAATTCAAAGTAAACATCATTACATAAAAGGGTACGGTCTTTTTTTTTTTTAGTTTTATTCATTTCAAACGGGCTGGATCCGGCCCGCGGGCCGTAGTTTGCCCACGGCTGCATCAAGGACATAAAATACGGTCCGGGAGTCACCTAGATGCCGAAGAGCAAACACATCTGGTAGTAAATCTGAAAGTTTAGGGCAAAACATCGATGGTTTGTTTAGTCACCGGAGAAAGGTCCGGCCCCTCCCCTCGGTGTGGCCACGCGGTCTGCTTCCCTGGTTCCACAGGCAGCTGCGAGCCTGGATATTTGAAACTGACCTTCAGTTGTGAGCAGCATGCCACCCCGAAGAAAGAGTGGACCAAGAAGCCCGCAGCGCCGCCCTGCAGGAAGCTTCCCAGGAGGCCTGAGGACGAGTCCGACTACACCTTGGACAGCCTGACCTGGGACTCACCCTTAAAGGCCAAAGACAGGACCACGGAAACTGCCAAGGTGAGTGCTGAAGCCTGTGCACAGGGGTGGGGGGCAGGGTGTAGGGAAAGGGGGGGGGGAGTGGGGACAGGGAGATGATGAGGGGAAGGAGTTTCAGGGACGCAGGAAGCTGTGCTCAGTCCACAGCAGAGGAGAGAGGAGAGCCGGCCTTGGCCATCCGTGGGCCGTGCGGCTGCCACGATGTCAGCCCACACATCCCTCCGCTGGCCCTGACTCTCGACTCCGTCGGTGCCTCACAGAAAGCAGGTCCGCCGACGAATAAGAGCTGGATGAACCACCTGCCGATGCCCCAGAGGAGACTGGAGCGGCTCCTCCTGGCCAAGATGGAGAACCGGACCTGCTTCCTGAGAAACCCGCGCTTCTTCCCTCCGAACACGCCCCGTGGAGGCAAGTCTCTCATCTTCCCGCCCCGGAAGCCGGAGGGAGAATTCCAGAGTGAAGAGCTGAGGTGTGTCCCTCCCCAACCGACGCGCATTCTCAGAAAACCTAACCGTAAGAATTTTCACAGCAGGCACCCCCTGCTATTTAGCCAGGGCCGCTGACCTCGCTGCCCTTAGGCTGTCAAATCAAAACGTGACCACAGCTGACCCAACGACAGTTGTCGGTGTGACTGTATCAAAATTATACCTTCGCCCTAACCGGTTTGGCTCAGTGGATAGAGCGTTGGCCTGAGGACTGAAAGGTCCCGGGTTCGATTCCGGTCCAGGGCATGTACCTTGGTTGCAGGCTCCTCCCCAGTGGGGGGTGTGCAGGAGGCAGCTGATGGATGTTTCTCTCTCATTGATGTTTCTAACTCTCTATCCCTCTCACTTCCTCTCTGTAAAAAAAATCAATAAAATATATGTAAAAAAATATTATCACCAGAAATAACTGTGTTGACCAATCTATATGGCAGGGCAAACTACTTATTACTGAACATCTGTTAACATCCGCAATGACCTTCCTCCCCTCTGAAGCCCCTAAGTGCCTTCCCTCATCCTTAGCCCAAAATGTCACATATACCTCATTCAAAGAAAAAAAAAATTATACCTACTTTCTTTCTTTCTTTCTTCCTTCCTTCCTTCCTTCCTTCCTTCCTTCCTTCCTTTATTTATTTTTTGTCAGATTGACAAAATGTATATTTTTTGGAGTGCTGCCGAGTTTTAGTAATTAGTTTGCATGTGTGCCCCGAGTTGAAAATTGCTGCTTTCGAGTAAAACCCAGAAGGTCCAGGTCTGGTCTGAAGGATCCTAGACTTTCTTAGGGGGACAGGGTGTCATTACCGAAACAGAGCAAGGTTTCAGGCCCCCCCTCCCAGACGTGGCCTTGGGTCCCCAGAGTCCCGGGCTTGTGCCTTTCTGACCTGCCAGCGTCTTGAGGAAGAGGGGTGTGTGTTAGTCTGCTAACGTCCGGACAGTCTGAGTCAAATGGGAGGAACCGCTACAGCACGTGCTCCTTCCATTGGGGTTCACGTGTCTTAGATAAAACAAATGTTTAAAATTTGATTAATCACAAAGAATTAGTATAAATTGCGGTTTTTCTTTAAGAGAGTGCCTTTAGCTAGGTAGGTTCCCTTAAGAAGAAAATTGTCCTTAAGAAGAAAATGAGTTGCTTTGTGGGTTCATAATCTTAATGGGCTGAAAACTATGAACCTTTCTTTATTAGACAAATAATATCTTTTTATTAAGAAATATTGGAAAAGACGACTCTATTAAAATCCCAGTTAACATATTGGTGTTTAAGCATCCAGAGTTTCCCCCCTGCATACTGAAAAAGAAATAGGTAGCTATCGATAGTTTTACAAAGATTCGATTATGCTGTGAAATTATTTTGTAACCCGCTTTAACAACAGAAACCAGCCAGTGACATGTTGTGAATCCCTGTGAGGGCTCGGGTGTATTTATTTTACATGAATGGGTCGCTATATGGTATTTCACCACGTGGGTGAGACTGACAGCCTTTCTCCCCCCTTTGCCTGCCCGCAGCTCTGCTGATGTGCCGGTGTTCATCGCTAACCCACCAGTCATCTTTTTCACAGATTATGAAATTGGAAAAGTGTATGAGGTAGAGATCTTATTTCTTGATATATCTACTCCATCTGCTTCCTTGTTTTTTAAAAGCTTTTGTTATGAAATTCTAAAACCATACACGAGACTAGGAAAAGACTGTAATGAACCCTGTGTGCCCACCACCCAATAGTTAACTCCAGTCTGCAAATGTGGTTTCATCTATTACCCCACAATTTCCTCGTGTCTGTATGTGTGTGTCTGTGTGTGTGTCTATCTGTCTGTTTGTAGGCACATTGTACATTGAGTATTTTAAAGAAAAGCCTGGATATCATGTCATTTCTTCAGTTAATACTTCAGTATCTCTAGCAGCTAAGAACTTTAAAAAAAATAACCATTATCACACCCAGCAATATTAATGATGGTTCCTTAATATCCACTAAAATCCATCCATGTCTGACTTTCCTCCATTTGTTTTGTTTTTAGAAAGTCAATTTACAGTTGGTTTCTTTGAATCAGAACTCAAATATTACATCTGGTTAAAATATCTCTTTTTTCACCCTCCTTTTCATTTTATTTATATTTTAGTATATTTTGATGGGTTTCAGAGAAGGGAAAGAGAGAGATAGAAACATCAGTGATGAAAGAGGATCATTAGATTGGCTGCCTCTGCACGCCCCACATGGGGATCAAGCCCGTAACCTGCATATGCCCTGACCAGGAATCAAACCGTGTCCTCTTGGTTCATAGGTCGACGCTCAACCACTGAGCCACTCCAGCTGGGCAGATCCATTTTTTTTTAAAAAAAATTGGGGTTACAAAATGGTGATTTCTAATTCTGTTATTCTTCTGCATTTGATTAGCTGTGATTCCCTGTTCTAAAAACAACTTTCCCTCTAACTTCTATTCCTGTCCGCTCTTCCGTGTACTCTCAGTACCGCTATAGGTGACTATTTCATGAGTTTGGGTTCTTCCATTGTTTCTTTTTAGAACCATAAGCAAATACAGAGATCTATTGGAACCCCCTCTCCTTCTCACTATCCTCTGCGCCTTGTTCTTTGCACTTAACAGCATATTCAGTGATTCCTCCAAGAGCCGTAGATAGAGAATTTTCCTCGTTCCCTTTTCCCAGTTTCCTTCTCAAATTAGTGCTAGCTTCCCACCGCCCTGGGGAATCAGGTCAAGACCAAGCCTAGCCCGTTGCCAGCTCTGCTCACCTGGTGCAAAGACCCCGAGGCCTAATCACGACAGTCCCTCCACTGTCACGCGGATGGTACTCTGCAGTTTAAAGAGCGCTACTCGCAAAGCCATAATTCCGATATGTTAGTCCTAAATACGAAACGTGAAATCATTTCACTTTCCTCTTGAACTTATTAGTTATATGTTATCTTTGGGACATGTGTCTGGTTATCACATTTCAAAGACAGTTGGGGAAGTTGGCAAAGACTCAGAGGAAGGGAGATAAAATAATTTTCGTTGGGGAGCGATAGGGCGAAGGGGGAGCTGCCCGGGACCCTGCGAAAGACAGTTCCATGCAGGGCTGGAAGGCGCCGGCTGCGGGCGCCTGTGGTGAGAGGAACCGACTGCTGGGCAGTCCTCCCTCTGGCCCGGCCTGGTCTGCTGCGCATCCCTTGCCGTTGGCGTAGTTGTCACTTGTCCGGAAGACCACCCTGCCCTCTCCTGATGGGATTAGATTTCCCTATTGCAGCCTCTTTTTGTACCATTGGCTCTTTCTTGGCACAGTTATATTTTAATCTTTTCCACTAGGCTGTAAGTAAGCCCGACAAGGCAAGACTTATTTCTAGGTTTGTGTTACCATCTCATTATCGGTGCCTGCACACAGTAGGCCCTCAGCAAATAAGTGCCAACCGAATCGGTGAATAGTTGAATATGGGTCTACCTCTCCGTCTTGTCTATCCCTGCTAAGTAAGGTAAATCGAGAGCCAATGAAATATTTTACTTTTAAAAATTGTGTGGTGTGTGCATGCGTGTGCGTGTGTATGCGTGTGTGTATGCATGTGTGTGTGTGTATGCGTGTGCATGTGTGCATGCTGGTTGTCAGCAGAGAGCTGCAGCTGTGTACCGGAGCATCGCCACGGCTTCTCCGTGTGGCCACCTCAGGGTAATGGGACTGTACACGCAGCTCAAAGTCCACAGTAGAGCTTCACGGTGAGTTTCCTAGCGAGCCAGATAGAGGTGGCATCACTTTTATGACCTGACCTTGGAGGTTACCTTGAAGGAGTAGAGAAAGCCGTTACTTCCTCAGCTTGCTATAGGCTACAAATACTAGTAAGTCGCTCAGGTCGGCCCAGGCTCCCGGGGAAGATAACAAGATCTCCCCTCTCAATGGGAGTTTTTAAACTGCTCTTGTGTGACAACTCACACAAGAAGAAAACCAAATGGCAAATAAACCTACGAAAAGATGCTCATCGCCATTAGTAGCAGAGTGACAACGAAAACCCCAATACGGGTCTCTCCACACGCGGGCCTGGTTCACCGACAGATTAGCCCAATATATTGTGCTGCCCACCGTGGACTGACTTAAATGCTGGTTTAGGAAGACATGCCTGTGACTAAAACTGTGAAGACATTCTTCAATGTATGTCGCTGTTATCCGGTCGGGGGCCAGGGTGGGGCTTCATCCATATTTTTAATGTTTATTTCTTAAGCTGGATGACTTTGGGCGTGTTATAATCTATACATTCTTCCCCCCCCAGTGTAATGTCTCATGAGATAGAAGCAAAGATGGGTGCATGTATTGAGCTCCTCATCTGTCTGTGCGAGGCACTGTGCGGGGTGCTGGTGGGGGTCAGCGTGTGTGAGTTCCAGGCCCAGCCCTGAGGGGGTCTCCCAATCGAGGGAAGGAGAAGGCAGGGCTTACTGGGCCGGGTGGGCTGCGTGAAGGCCCGATGACGACCCTGGCATACGGGTGCCTGTGGGAAGAAGTGGCCCCAAAGGATGTGTGGGGAAGAAGACAGTGAGTAAGAGGCGGGGTGGGCAGGGCGTGGGAGCCAGATGCCTGGGCTCGCATCTCAGCCCTGCCACCCACGGCGGAGGGGTCTCTGAACTTCGCTGTCTTCAGTGTCAAGAACTATCTCCAGGTGGTTCCCACCCTTCCCGGTTGTTGCGAGGCCGCCCGGGCACGCGTTGGAGGCGTCACACGCAGTGGCTGTTCTTTTAAGCAGGGCAGAGACGAGGTCAGACTGCTTCTGCCTGCATGCTCAACCTTGTAGCTTATTTTTCTCCAAAAAGAAAACAAAATAGAGAGACCAGGATCGTGAGTCCCCACATGCCCATCGCTCAGCTTAGCTGTTCCCAACACGTGGCCGAGCTGATGGCATTTACACCCCTGCCCCGGGCCTCATGCTGTCCGTCCACGCGCGTGGCTGCCTCAGAGCTGCCTTTGTCTTTGCACAGATGGTCATCTCCCTGCAGAACACCACCTCGACCAGCCGCAACCTGCGAGTCATCCCGCCCGCCACTCCGTACTTCTCTCTGGGATTGGGTGAGCTCGGCAGGGCCGTTGTCTAGACTGCACCCAGTTCCTGGCCCACCTGGCCCTCGGGTGACTCCCGGTCTGTGTCCTGAGCTGGGCCATGAGCAGTCCCTGGGAGCCGCTCGCCCTCTGCTGGACACCTGCCCGCTGTTCCCTCCAGCGGGGTCTTCGAATCCTAACAGCTCCTTCTCTGATCACCTCCCTCCAGGCCCTTGTCCTGCCCTCCCCTCTCCCTTCACGCTGTCACCTACACCAGTACAAGCCTCCCGTGTCACAATCTGATTCTCAAGAACAACTTGTCCTTATTCAGCTCAGGAATCTTAAAGAGCTCTGTTGGCCACAAAAATAAATGCTAAGCCACAGGGTCAGGCATGGCATCACCTCGCCCTTCTGGATGGGCCCTGTCACTCTCCCCACCCTGGTATTTTGACCTGGGTCCCTGCCCTTGCAGCCTAACCCCCCCTCCCCCCACCCCCAACACACACACCCCGGTGGCCTGGCCTTGGCCCAGAGGCATTTGCTCACAGAGCAGCCCCAGCGGTGGAGGGTCTGTTTGAGTCACATCAGCCCAAGCCCTGGTCCCCAGATCCTCAGTTGTCGCTTTTGTCACGGACAGGAATGTTCCCAGGAGACAATGGAATGGTGGCTCCTGGAATGATCTGCCAGTACACTGTCCAGTTTTTCCCCGACTGCCTGGGGGACTTTGATGATTTTATTGTGGTTGAGACCCAGTCAGCCCACCCACTCCTGATCCCCCTGCAGGCCCGGAGGCCGCCCCCAGTGCTGACGTGTGAGTGTGTGCCCTGCTCTTCCCCGCCTCCCCCGGGGATTCGGTCAGGGTTGGCGAGTCCCTACAAGGACTGCTGGCTCCTGGGCCCTTTGTGGCCGCACACAGCTTGGCAGGGCCTTCTGGGTGCTGAGGAGGGATCTGCTAGCAGTGTCTACAGTCTCCTCCCAGCAGGGGAGGAGGCCGCAGCCCAGCTAACCCCAGCATGGGCTTCCCAGGCTCAAGGTCACCCCTGAGCAGGCCTGGCCACACTGAGGCCGGGAAGGAGCCCTGAGCCTTGCGGGAATGTTGCCTCTGTGCCCGGGGGTGGGGGTGGGGGGGGTTGGGGGGTGGGGGGGAGGGGGGGCGGGGGTGCAGGGGGTGCGGGGGAGGTTTCTTCAGGAAAGCTGACTTTGGCTGGGCTCCCTCCATCACAAGCCTCTTCAGCTGGGTACAGGCTGGAAGCTGGGACTGTGACCACAACCCCCCAGGGCCATGCGGGTGGCCCTGGCGGAGGCCTGAGTTCACAGTGGGTGCTGACCCCCTGCTGCTCTAGCCAGGAGTGGGAGCGGGGGTCAGGGCATGTCCCCATTCGCCCTCGCTGGTCGGGGTGCTGGGCAGGGGCCGTGCTCTCCGGCTGGGCCTCGGGAGGACAAGGGCAGCAGGGCCCATTCACAGGGACGGGCTGTCTTTCCCTGCAGTGTCGCCGGTGCTGGACTGTGGTTACTGCCTCGTCGGGGAAATGAAGGTGACCACTTTCCTCTGTAAGAACGTGGGCTGCAGCGCCGCCAAGTTCTGTGTGATCCCCGAGAAGACCTGGCCGCCCACGAGTTTCAGGGTGAGTGGTCACAGTCGCTGCTGGAGGAAGGAACCTCGGGAGGGACTTGTGCCCCCGAGGTTGGGCACACACAGAAAATGGAACTTGATAGCCTCTCCCTCCCAACGAGGGTCCGGGTGCATGGAGACCGGTGCTGTGGCTCCGGCTACGCCCCTCACACGCGCGTGACCCTGGGCAAGTCGTATCCCCTCCCCTGTCCTTCCAGGCCTGGCTCACTGTCACTGCATTTGCTCAGCCAGGCGGTCATTGTGGCAGCAAATGCAGTAACAGTTTGAATCACATCGGAGGTCACAAGTGGGCAGCTCTTCGGCTGCATCCTGGGGGCACGTTGTTTGGCGCGGTGCTGAAACATCTCTGGGAGAGTTCGCATCAGAATCAGCATTCCCGGGGTCTTTGGGAAGTTTGGAAGATGGGCAGCCTTGGGCCAGGACTTCCCGTGGCCCCGTCGGGAAGCAGGACACGTGTGCCTTCTCTCCTGTTGCTCAGCTGCGCCTGTCCCCGCAGCAGCCGGCGCTCACGCATCGTCACCCTCACACTGCTGTTTCCTCACAGTGGGGAGAGTTCTCTGTGCCTGTGTCTCCGGAAAACAAGTGATAGATCCACTGGGCCACGTGTTCCACAGACACATTTCACTCGTTTCTGTTACCTGCCAGGCACCTGTAGGCATGGCTTTGTGTCCCTGGGGTGCTACGTGGCTTCCTGTGTAGGCACCTGGGCTGTAGGCACCAGGGCTGTAGGCATCTGGGCTGTAGGCTCTGGGCTGAAGGTACCTGGGCTGTAGGCACCTGGGCTGCAGGCACCTGGACTGTAGGCTCTGGGCTGTAGGCACCTGGGCTGTAGGCTCTGGGCTGCAGGCACCTGGACTGTAGGCTCTGGGCTATAGGTACCTGGGCTGCCGACAGGATGGCAGCTGCCCTTGTGACTCAGGAGCTTATAGGCAGAAGTGCATCGGGGATGGAGGCAGTCCCGGAAGCTGGCGCCTGCCACGGAGGGCGCTGTAGGAGGGCAAGGCCTGTGGTTTGGGATCCAACCTCCTGGGTGAGGCCGTGTCTCAGGCCTCCTGCTTTGTGTCTGAAACGCTTGTCAGTGGCAACCTTGTCAGTGGCTCTGCGGCGTCCTTGACTTTAACCTTCAGGACCTCATCTGGTGCCCAGTGAAGGTTGAGCAGATGCTGGCGGAATGAAGGAGCCGCGGTTGCTTCATTCACCAGGGACTGGTGATCCTTAAGATCCTTCACGTTGCTGAACAGATGTTGGGAGGAGAGAAGGGTGCAATCTGAACACTGGGTTTTACACAACAGTTCCTTCCACAGCTGTTGTGTAACCTGCTTTCCTTTCAGGCCATCACAATCTCTGGCTTCGCTGAGCACCCTCCCTTTGGGATCATGCCTTCGGTGTTCGAGCTGGCTCCGGGGAAGGAGATACTAATGGAGGTAGGGCATGTATTTCCTCCTCCGAATGACTGGTCATGGCTATTTCTTCAACGGCTTGCATGATTTCGTCATCTCTGTGTCTTCATGACCCAAATTCCCACTCCCACCCCAGTCCCAGCCTGGGCGGTTTCTGTGGAGGAGCATGTCCCTGCATTCTGTGGGGTGACGTCACTTGACTGGCGTATGGCCTCTCTCCCAAAGGAAGTGCCGAAAGCCCTAGCCCAGTGATGGCGAACCTATGACACGCGTGTCAGAGGTGACACGTGAACTCATTTTTTTGGTTGATTTTTCTTTGTTAAATGGCATTTAAATATATAAAATAAATATCAAAAATATAAGTCTTTGTTTTACTATGGTTGCAAATATTAAACAATTTCTATATGTAACACGGCACCAGAGTTAAGTTAGGGTTTGTCAAAATGCTGACACGCCGAGCTCAAAAGGTTCGCCATCACTGCCCTAGCTTCTCCGCCGTGATACCTGAGCATGGCTTGTCCGCACTGTCAGCCTGGGGGTCACTTTCACCAGCATCCAGGCTGCTTCCAGGATCTTCCCATGGTTCTTCAGTCTCTCTCGGACACCCCCCTCCCCAAGGGGGTACCTGGGTGATGACTGGTTTGGTTCTCTCTTTCCTGTTTCATCCTCAGTTATATAGTCAGCAAGACTCGCCTTCCTTAGGCCTTACTCTGAGCCTCTGCAGAAGCTCTCAGAGTCTGACCCCCCCGGCTGTGGGCGTCTCCGTTCCAAACCGGTCCCTTTAAGTGCTCCCTTCTGCTCATCACACCTGCTCCTTGGTTCCCCAGAAGAGCCTTTGAGAAATGGGATGTCTTCCTGTCCCTGTCTCCCTCCCCGACTCAGGGGCATAGTAAGGCTTTGTCAGTCCTTGTCTACTGCTGAGGGGCGGGTTGGATCCTCTTGGCGTAGCCCAGGTCTTGTCAGAGCCTCACCATGGCTTTAAGGAACTGGGACTGGTCACCTCTGACCAGGCCAGGATGCCCCCCTCATTCCATCTTCCTAGGACCCCCAGGAAAAGGAAGAGGGCCGCAGCAGGAGTCTGTGGGGGGCAGGGAGGGAGTCAGGGGAGAGTTTTTTTCCCTTTGCATTCCTTATGTATTTTTTTAAAATATATTTTTATTGATTTCCGAGAGGAAGGGAGAGGGAGGGAGAGAAACATCAATGATGAGAGAGAATCATTGATTGGCTGCCTCCTGCATGCCCCCTACTGGGGATCAAGCCCGCATGTGCCCTGACCAGGAATGGAATCAAACGTGACCTCCTGGCTCACAGGTCGACGCTCAACTCCTGAGCCACGCTGGCCTGGCTCTGCATTCCTGTATTTTGTTTATTGGTGGTTCGGGGGTCTGTTTGTTTTAAAATTTATTCATATTTCCGATTAAGAAGTAAATTCACACTTAAAAACTCAAAAGATACAAACAGATAAACAGTGAAATGCTCCCTTTCACCCCAGTTCCTCTGCCACCCAGAGGCCACACGCTCGCCAGGTTTCCGGGTGCCCTTCCTGAGACATGCGATGCCTCAGCCAGCAGGTCACTCGCTCTTTCTTCCCTTCCCTCCTTCGGACCCATGGCTGCCCACTCCACCCCTGCTCTGTCCTGTGTGTTTCCATTCGGCGATGCCCCTTAGAAATCGTCCTTACGTTGTTGCAGTTGCACAGTCTCCCACTGTGTGAGCGAACCACAGTCAGGAGTTCAGCTGTTCCCTACTGATGACCATGAAGAGTGTTTTCTGATCTCAGGCTATTTTTGCACATAACTTACGCATACATCAGTCTGGGCAAATACGAGTCTGCCTGCAGGATACAGTCTTTGAAGTGGAGGTGCTGACTCGGGGGGTCTCTGCTCATAACTGTGATACATGTTGACCAAATCCCCACCGTGTGGATCGTACCAGTTATACTTCCAACAACAACGTGTGTCTGTCTCCTCACACTCCTGCCAATGCAGTACGCTCTCCAAATATTTTTAACCGTTATCATGGACATTTTTAGGTTGTTTTTTAAAAATATGTTTTTATTTATTTCAGAGAGGAAAGGAGAGGGAGAGAGAGAGAGAAACATCGATGAGAGAGAAACATCAATTAGCTGCCTCCTGCACGCCCCCAACTTAGGGACCGAACCTCTAATCCAGGCATGTGTCCCGACCAGGAATTGAACCGGGGACCTGGTGCATGGCATCTCGCTCAACCAGCTGAGCCACACCAGCTGGGCTTGGACATGTTAAAACACAGACAGTGTACTCATTTCCCAGCTCTCATGCGTGTGAGCTCTTGGCGAACCGTACTGCATACGTTCCTCCACCTCTTCCAACCAACCCTCACCCGTCCCTCTAGATGACGTTGAAGAAAATCAAGATATCACATCATTGCATTTGTGAGAGCTAACGTCCCGCTCTCTGCCACTACGAAGAGTGAAACCTCTTGTCCTGGGTGGTTTTCATTGACGTTTTGAATGAGGTTCCACATGTTGTCATGTGTGTGTGGGTCCCTGTGAACTGGCTCTTCGTATCCCTTTGACATTACTCTGGGGTGGAGCGGCAGCTGAAACTCCTGGCCTTCGGTAGGAGGGGGAGCGGCAGGGAGGGCAGCAGAGACAGGGTGCGTGTCAGAGAAGAGGAGCCTGGGAGGTGGGGGGAAACCCCTTAGTGGGAGGTCACAGGGCAGCCTTGTCTCCCCCAGGTCTGGTTTCTCCCAACGAGCTTTGGGAAGGCAGAGCAGACCTTCGTGATGGCGTGCGACAACTGCCAGATAAAGGAGCTGGTGACGTCAGGTAGGCTGGCGTGTGTGCCTGGGGTAGGGTGGGGTGGGTGGGGGTCCAGAAGCTGCCGCACTGGCCTGGGCATCAGGGGGCACCGTGAGGGCTGCTGCAGCCTCCATGCACCAGGGTCTAGTTTGGGGCCTCTCGCTCTGGTCAGACCTTGGAGACCCAAGCCAGTGTGGCCTTTGGGACAGTCCCAGGGAGCCTTCTAGTGGGAGACAGATGGAAACCTGGGTGAAACCTTTCACCCTTCACCTTGAAACTCACCTTGAGCTCCTTCTGGGGAGTTACCAGTGACTCATACAAACAACCCACATGCACCTCTAGGTTCCTGTAGGGCTAGAGGGGCATCCTGCTGAATTTCAAGATGCCCTTGTTCCATCCATCCATCCATCCATCCACCTTTTTTCTCTTCCTCCCTCCCATCCGTCTGTCCTTTCTTCTGTCCAATCCATCTATCCTTCCTTTCTCTCTCCCTCCCTCCCATCTGTCTGTTCTTCCTTTCTTCCATCCAACCTTCCTTCCACCCAGCCTTTCTTCCTTCTTTCCTTCCATCTGTCCATCATCTGTTCATCCACCCGCCTGTCCATCCATCCATCCATCCATCCATCCAGTTTCACTCAGCCAGCACTAATTGAGTGTCTGCAACATGCTAGGTTATGAGAATCACCTCCATTTGGTCTGTGAAGACGTGGGGACGTGAATCTATGTGTTAATGGCCCCCAGTTCCCTTATGTACAATTCCCGGGGTCATGACCAAGTTGCATGTGGATGGTAGCATGGGTCCCGCGACAGCCTTCGGCCAGAGAGTCCTGATTTCAGCCCTCGCGAAACTTGGCCACCCTGTTTCGTCAGGAATGGGGCAGCTGGTTGCTTTGGAGCTGGTCTATATTTCTGGGGAGAAAAGCCAGCCAGAGCCTGGAGAGCTCACGGACTTAACAGCCCAGCACTTCATACGCTTTGAGCCTGAAAACCTTCAGTCCACAGCGAGGAGGCAGCTGCTTATTAGAAACGCTACGTGAGTGACCCCGATGCTCAGCCCCCCGGCGCACCCCCCTTCTCCTTCCTCTCCAGGCCCCCAGAGCCAGTGAGGCAGCAGGTCCCTGCCAGGGGCCAGGGAGCAGTCTGGGCACAGAATGGAGGGATCCAGATTCGCTGCCCAGCGTGATGGCCACTAGCTACGTGTGGCTATTTCAGTGGCGATCCATGGACATTCAGTAAAGTTAAAAGCTCACTTCTTCAGTGGCTCCAGCCACATTTTAAGTCCTCGCCACACTTGTAGCTGGTGGCCTCGTGCTGGACAGCGCAGATATCTTTTCATCGCCGCCAGTTACATGGGGCAGCGTTGATCATCCTGGACCATCCTTAGCCAGGAACGGGGCTCCAGAGCGTCCCTGCCCTGCCCGGGATGGGGGGCCGCCCAAGTCCCAGGGTCCGACAGACTGGCCTGTGGGTCCAGTGCTCACTGCCATTGCACCAGGACAGACCATGGAGCCTCCGGCCTTACACAGGCTCTGTCACCCAGCTGCCGCCCTCCCGCTGACAGCGGCCGTCAGCAGCACCCGGAGTCCCGCCCCTCCCACTGCCATGGAATTGTCACCGCTCCTGGCAGCCAGGGGGCCCATACCTTTCCCGCCAGAGCGGTCCTGGGAGGCCATAGCTGGAGAGGTGGGGGGCGGGATGGGGGTCGATGTGGCAACTCTCATGCGGTGGGAGACACTGCAGACACTTCCCTGAGACCTGGGGGCGTCCAGAGCCCTGCAGTGCGATGGCTGGAGCATGACTCCCTGTGTGTGCCATTTCCCGCGTCCCTGGGGCCCTAACCTCCAGCTGCTGGCGGCGGGGACGGGGGGCTCTCTCAGGGGGCCTCCAGCTTGGACTGCCTGACCCACGTGCTGCGCCTTCCCCAGGCTCCTCCACGGGCAGGGCCTGAGGCTGACCTGGCGGAGGGGGCCAGGCCGGGCAGGGACGCGAGGACCTGTTCCGGACAGAACTGGGACCTGACCCGGGACCCGCTGTCCGTGAACCTCACAGGCACGTGGAGCTGGCCTTCCACTGGCAGGTCATGGTGCCCAACCTGCAGGCCCTGATGCCCGGAGAGACCTACAGCCCGGACAGGATCAAAAGCTGCCCCGACAGGGACACGGCCTTCGCCATGACCCCCGAGCGGGGCACCCTCAACCCCTTCGCGGACCACGAGTTCATCCTGAGCTTTTCCCCTCACCAGGTGACGTGATCGGGTCACGCATGAGCGGGTCACGGTAGTGGCACCCTCGGGGCATGTTCTCTGGTGACGCTGAAGCCGCCGCGGGGCCTGGCCAGATCCCCGCACCCTGGGAGGCTGACGCTGGCCGAGAGGGGCCGGAGGATGTGCGGGGTCAGGGCGAAGACGCTCGCCTTGCCTGCTCCTGCTCCTGCACACACCTCGCCTGCAGCCAGACCCTGGCCTCCATTCCTCAGCCTGGGGTCTCCGGTATCAGCTCCGTCAAGGGCGTCCCCATCCTTGTGGAGCCCCCAGCAGCCCCCAGGGAGCGAGAGGCGCAGGGCCCGAGGGCGAGGTTAGCAGCTCCCGGGTGAGAGGGGCCCGCCGGTGAGGTCCGCAGGTCTGCCTCTCAGCCCAGCATCCAGCCGCTCACTGCCTGTCCTGGGAGGGGGTGGTGCCGGGGACACACTGGGGGCAGTGTTGGGGTCTGGAGAGCCTTTTCTCCCTGCCCCCCAGGCTCAGCTGGGGGGGACGGGCACACCCATAGCCACCCCTCTTCCCTCAGTGGTGGGAGCCCTGCAGGGAAACAGCACCCTCAGGGCCTTTCTGGGGCCTCGGCCGCAGCCTTTCTCTGGGGCGGCCAGGCTGGCATGCGGTTGGGTTCCAGGGCGCTGTGTCTGTCTTGCAGCTGAAGGATTTTCACAGCGTTTTCCAGATGGTGATAGAGGATGTCCCAGAGCTCGAGGGGTGAGCAGGGCCCGGGCCCTGGATGAGAGGTGGGGAGCGGGGCCTGCCTTCCTCCGTGGTCTGCAAGGGAGGGTGACAGGAAGGGGTGAAGAGCTACCTGACCTCTCTCCCATCTCCGTTTGCCTGCCCTGGCACCTAGGCTGGCGTGGGCTCAGCACGCAGGAGCAGAGCTCAGGTTCATCGTTATCACGGCAGCAAGCTGTGCCCCTGTAGTGGGGGAGTGTGCCCTTGTGGCATTGCTACAGTGCCCTTAGACATCGCAGGGGTCTGCAGC